CTGTGGACCTAAAATACCTCTCGCTCAAAACCATTTTTCTGACGGCTCTGTCCTCAGTAAAACGCGTGGGGGATCTTCACGCGCTCTCATCCAGCGCCGCGTGTCTCGAGTTTGGACCGAATGACTCTGTTGTCATTCTCAAACCTAGACATGGCTATGTCCCGAAGGCGATTGGTACCCCGTTCAGGGCTCAGATTATTTCCCTATCGGCTCTGCCTTCATCCGATAGTGAGCGCGACGCCAATCTCCTCTGCCCGGTGCGGGCTCTGAGATTGTACACTACGCGCGCTGCCGCGTTCAGACGCGCTGAGCTGCTTTTCGTGTCGTTTGGGGGGCGCACCAAAGGTCTGGCCGCCTCTAAACAGACACTGTCTAGATGGATAGTAGACGCTATCGCCTCTGCTTACGCATCTAAATGCCTGCCCTGCCCTCTGGGCATCAGGGCGCACTCCACTAGAGGCATGGCCTCATCGTGGGCATGGTCCTGTGGAATTTCCATTCATGACATTTGTGTGGCCGCGGGATGGGCCTCCCCGTCCACTTTTGTCAGATTTTACAACTTGGAAGTTCCCGCCTTGCAGGCAAAATTACTAGCTGTCTAACGACCAGCTCCCTAAGAAGCTGCATTACTGGGAGTCCCTCACACAACCGGTTCGCCCCTTGTGCTCTCCTTAAATGCTTATACACTTCATCATACATGCTTATGTATACACTTCATGTGCCCGCTCTGCCGGCCTCATAATACATTCACTCCACGTTAAAAATCCCCCGGTTTCACCCTGGGATTCATGAGTGGATTCATAGCGCGCACGGCGTTGACCAGGTGTTCCCGCAGCGTAAGCTAGCTTACGCAATACGAGAGAACCTCTCGTAAGAGAACGAATCGGTTACCTAACGTAACCTCGGTTCTCTCTAGAAGAGGGAACGAGTATTGCGTTCCCGGCCGTGCTTGCGCTACTAGCGTTTCGCTTCACGCTGAAATAAATCAACATATAAGCCTGGGAGAGACTGTTATATACACAATAGCCACGCCCATTCTGGCGGGCCATGACGCAATGAGCGTGCGGGCGCCTCTCATTGGAAGCGGGTTCAGCCCCGCTCTCCCATAGGCTTAAGCAGTTCTCTCTGAGCGAACCAATGAGCTGCTAGCTAGCCTGCTCTAGGTCTGCCGCAGAGGAACTGCGTTGTCAATGGATACAAATTATGAAATAATTTTTTGGCTTCAATATCTCAGCAAAGATGAATCTTTCCTGCAGCGTAAGCTAGCTTACGCAATACTCGTTCCCTCTTCTAGAGAGAACCGAGGTTACGTTAGGTAACCGATTCGTTTTACACGCTTGTAAACGTGTGTTTGGAGTGTCGGGGTTTTACACGCTTGTAAACGTGTGTTTGGTGTCTCAGGGTCAGGGTTTTTCACGCTTGTAAACGTGTGTTTGGAGTGTCTCAGGGTCGGGGTTTTTCACGCTTGTAAATGTGTTTTTGGAGTGTCTCAGGGTCGGGGTTTTTCATGATTGTAAACGTGTGTTTGGTGTGTCTCAGGGTCAGGGTTTTTCACGCTTGTAAACGTGTTTGGAGTGTCTCAGGGTCGGGGTTTTTCACACTTGTAAACGTGTGTTTGGTGTGTCTCAGGGTCAGGGTTTTTCACACTTGTAAACGTGTGTTTGGAGTGTCGGGGTTTTACACGCTTGTAAACGTGTGTATGGTGTGTCTCAGGGTCAGGGTTTTTCACGCTTGTAAACGTGTGTTTGGAGTGTCGGGGTTTTACACGCTTGTAAACGTGTGTTTGGTGTGTCTCAGGGTCGGGGTTTTTCACGCTTGTAAACGTGTTTGGAGTGTCTCAGGGTCGGGGTTTTTCACACATGTAAACGTGTGTTTGGTGTGACTCAGGGTCAGGGTTTTTCACACTTGTAAACGTGTGTTTGGTGTGTCTCAGGGTCAGGGTTTTTCGGGCTTGTAAACGTGTGTTTGGAGTGTCTCAGGGTCAGGGTTTTTCACACTTGTAAACGTGTGTTTGGAGTGTCGGGGTTTTACACGCTTGTAAACGTGTGTTTGGTGTGTCTCAGGGTCGGGGTTTTTCACGCTTGTAAACGTGTTTGGAGTGTCTCAGGGTCGGGGTTTTCACGCTTGTAAATGTGTGTTTGGTGTGACTCAGGGTCGGGGTTTTTCACGCTTGTAAACGTGTGTTTGGTGTGACTCAGGGTCGGGGTTTTTCACACTTGTAAACGTGTTTTTGGAGTGTCTCAGGGTCGGGGTTTTTCACGCTTGTAAACGTGTGTTTGGTGTGACTCAGGGTCGGGGTTTTTCACACTTGTAAACGTGTTTTTGGAGTGTCTCAGGGTCGGGGTTTTTCACGCTTGTAAACGTGTTTGGAGTGTCTCAGGGTCGGGGTTTTTCACACTTGTAAACGAGTTTTTGGAGTGTCTCAGGGGCGGGGTTTTTCACGCTTGTAAACGTGTTTGGAGTGTCTTAGGGTCGGGGTTTTTCACGCTTGTAAACGTGTTTGGAGTGTCTTAGGGTCGGGGTTTTTCACGCTTGTAAACGTGTGTTTGGTGTGTCTCAGGGTCGGGGGTTTTCAGACTTGTAAACGTGTTTGGTGTGTCTCAGGGTCGGGGTTTTTCACGCTTGTAAACGTGTGTTTGGTGTGTCTCAGGGTCAGGGTTTTTCGCGCTTGTCAACGTGTGTTTGGTGTGTCTCAGGGTCGGGGTTTTCACGCTTGTAAACGTGTGTTTGGAGTGTCTCAGGGTCAGGGTTTTTCGCGCTTGTAAACGTGTGTTTGGTGTGTCTCAGGGTCGGGGTTTTTCACGCTTGTAAACGTGTGTCTCAGGGTCAGGGTTTTTCGCGCTTGTAAACGTGTGTTTGGTGTGTCTCAGGGTCGGGGTTTTCACGCTTGTAAACGTGTGTTTGGAGTGTCTCAGGGTCAGGGTTTTTCGCGCTTGTAAACGTGTGTTTGGTGTGTCTCAGGGTCGGGGTTTTTCACGCTTGTAAACGTGTGTTTGGTGTGTCTCAGGGTCAGGGTTTTTCGCGCTTGTAAACGTGTGTTTGGTGTGTCTCAGGGGCGGGGTTTTCACGCTTGTAAACGTGTGTTTGGAGTGTCTCAGGGTCGGGGTTTTTCACGCTTGTAAACGTGTGTTTGGTGTGTCTCAGGGTCGGGGTTTTTCAGACTTGTAAACGTGTTTGGTGTGTCTCAGGGTCGGGTTTTTCACGCTTGTAAACGTGTGTTTGGTGTGTCTCAGGGTCAGGGTTTTTCGCGCTTGTAAACGTGTGTTTGGAGTGTCTCAGGGTCGGGGTTTTTCACGCTTGTAAATGTGTGTTTGGAGTGTCTCAGGGTCGGGGTTTTCACGCTTGTAAACGTGTGTTTGGAGTGTCTCAGGGTCGGGGTTTTTCACGCTTGTAAATGTGTGTTTGGAGTGTCTCAGGGTCGGGGTTTTCACGCTTGTAAACGTGTGTTTGGAGTGTCTCAGGGTCGGGGTTTTTCACGCTTGTAAACGTGTTTGGAGTGTCTCAGGGTCGGGGTTTTCACGCTTGTAAACGTGTGTTTGGTGTGTCTCAGGGTCGGGTATTTCACGCTTGTAAACGTGTGTTTGGAGTGTCTCAGGGTCGGGGTTTTTCTCGCTTGTAAACGTGTGTTTGGAGTGTCTCAGGGTCGGGGTTTTCACGCTTGTAAACGTGTGTTTGGAGTGTCTCAGGGTCGGGGTTTTTCACGCTTGTAAACGTGTTTGGAGTGTCTCAGGGTCGGGGTTTTTCACGCTTGTAAACGTGTGTTTGGAGTGTCTCAGGGTCAGGGTTCTCACGCTTGTAAACGTGTGTTTGGTGTGTCTCAGGGTCGGGGTTTTCACGCTTGTAAACGTGTGTTTGGTGTGTCTCAGGGTCAGGGTTTTTCACGCTTGTAAACGTGTGTTTGGTGTGTCTCAGGGTCGGGGTTTTTCAAGCTTGTAAACGTGTGTTTGGTGTGTCTCAGGGTCGGGGTTTTTCACGCTTGTAAACGTGTGTTTGGTGTGTCTCAGGGTCGGGGTTTTTCACGCTTGTAAACGTGTGTTTGGTGTGTCTCAGGGTCAGGGTTTTTCGCGCATGTAAACGTGTGTTTGGTGTCTCAGGGTCAGGGTTTTTCGCGCTTGTAAACGTGTTTGGTGTGTCTCAGGGTCGGGGTTTTTCACGCTTGTAAACGTGTGTTTGGTGTGTCTCAGGGTCAGGGTTTTTCGCGCTTGTAAACGTGTGTTTGGTGTGTCTCAGGGTCGGGGTTTTCACGCTTGTAAACGTGTGTTTGGTGTGTCTCAGGGTCGGGGTTTTCACGCTTGTAAACGTGTGTTTGGAGTGTCTCAGGGTCGGGGTTTTTCACGCTTGTAAACGTGTGTTTGGTGTGTCTCAGGGTCGGGGTTTTTCAAGCTTGTAAACGTGTGTTTGGTGTGTCTCAGGGTCGGGGTTTTTCACGCTTGTAAACGTGTGTTTGGTGTGTCTCAGGGTCGGGGGTTTTCAAGCTTGTAAAAGTGTGTTTGGAGTGTCTCAGGGTCGGGGTTTTTCACACTTGTAAACGTGTTTGGTGTGTCTCAGGGTCGGGGTTTTTCAAGCTTGTAAACGTGTGTTTGGTGTGTCTCAGGGGCGGGGTTTTTCAAGCTTGTAAACGTGTGTTTGGTGTGTCTCAGAGTCGGGTTTTTCACACTTGTAAACGTGTTTGGAGTGTCTCAGGGTCAGGGTTTTTCACGCTTGTAAACGTGTGTTTGGTGTGTCTCAGGGTCGGGGTTTTTCAAGCTTGTAAACGTGTGTTTGGAGTGTCTCAGGGTCAGGGTTCTCACGCTTGTAAACGTGTGTTTGGTGTGTCTCAGGGTCAGGGTTTTTCGCGCTTGTAAACGTGTGTTTGGTGTGTCTCAGGGTCGGGGTTTTTCGCGCTTGTAAACGTGTTTGGTGTGTCTCAGGGTCGGGTTTTTCACGCTTGTAAACGTGTGTTTGGAGTGTCTCAGGGTCGGGGTTTTCACGCTTGTAAACGTGTGTTTGGTGTGTCTCAGGGTCGGGGGTTTTCCAGCGCGATGACGGCGAGGGAGGCGCAGGCGTTTGTGGGGGATGTTCAGTGTAACGTCAACACACTACAGGAGGATAAACTATTCCTGGACCCGCCCTCCACTGCACCCAGAGCTCGATCCAAGAGACTGAGGAGAGACACTGGCTCTGACCCGCTGGACCTGCTGGTGAGAGAACAATATACATACATGGATCCATATATCAATCCTTCTGTCCTTCCATCCATCCTTCTGTCCTCCAGCCACATATTCATCCATCCATCCTTCCATCCATCCATCTATCATCCATCCATCTATCATCCATCCATCCATCCATCCATCTATCCTTCCAGCCACATATTCATCCATCCATCTATCCATCCCATTCATCCTTCTGTCCTCCCATCCATCCATCCCATCCATCAAACCTTCATTCTGTCCTCCAGCCACATATCCATCCAACCTTCTGTCCTCCAGCCACATATTCATCCATCCATCTGTCCTTCCATCCATCCATCCATCATCCATCCATCTCCCCTTCCTTCCATCTATCCATCATCCATCTTCCAGCCACATATTCATCCATCCATCTATCATCCATCCATCCATCCATCCATCCATCTGTCCTTCCAGCCACATATTCATCCATCCATCCATCCTTCCATCCATCTGTCATCCACCCATCCATCCATCCATCCATCCATCTGTCCTTCCAGCCACGTATTCATCCATCCATCCCACTCATCCATCTGTCCTTCCAGCCACATATTCATCCATTCATCCATCCCATTCATCCATTCATCCATCCTTCCATCCATCCATCTGTCCTTCCAGCCACATATTCATCCATCCATCCATCCCATTCATCCATCCTTCCATCCATCCATCTGTCCTTCCAGCCACATATTCATCCATCCATCCATCCCATTCATCCATCCTTCCATCCATCCATCTGTCCTTCCAGCCACATATTTATCCATTCATCCATCCCATTCATCCATCCTTCCATCCATCCATCTGTCCTTCCAGCCAAATATTCATCCATCCATCCATCCATCCCATTCATCCATCTGTCCTCCCATCCATCCATCTCATCCATCTATCCATCATTCTGTCCTCCAGCCAAATATTCATCCATCTTTCTGTCCTCCAGCCACATATTCATCCATCCATCTGTCCTTCCATCCATCATCCATCCATCTGCCCTTCCTTCCATCCATCCATCATCCATCTGTCCTTCCAGCCACATATTCATCCATCAATCTTTCCGTCCCTCGAGCCACATATTCATCCATTTATCCATCCATCCATTCATCCTTCCAGCCACATATTCATCCATCCATCCGTCTATCATTCCATCCATCCATCCATCCATCATCCATCCATCTGCCCTTCCTTCCATCCATCCATCATGCATCTGTCCTTCCAGCCACATATTCATCCATCCATCCATCAATCTTTCCATCCCTCGAGCCACATATTCATCCATTTATCCATCCATCCGTTCATCCTTCCAGCCACATATTCATCCATCCATCCGTCTATCATTCCATCCATCCATCCATCCATCATCCATCCATCTGCCCTTCCTTCCATCCATCCATCATCCATCTGTCCTTCCAGCCACATATTCATCCATCCATCCATCAATCTTTCCATCCCTCGAGCCACATATTCATCCATTTATCCATCCATCCATTCATACTACCAGCCACATATTCATCCATCCATCCGTCTATCATTCCTTCCATCCATCCGTCCGTCCGTCCTTCCAGACACATATTCATCCATCCATCCTTTTTATATTTTAAAAAATAATTTGTTTTTATATATCCATCAGTCCATCTATCAATTATCTATGTGTCCACTTTTTCATCTATTTTGTTTATATATGAATAAATAAATATCCACCTATTTATCTGTTTCTTTATATTCTTTACTTTTTATAAATAGTTGTTATTAAACAAAGTAAATAAATAAATGTTTATATATTATTTTATATATTATTATTATTTGTATTTTGTATATTTTTTGTGTTTATATATGTATATATTTTATTAGTTTGTTGGTGTGCTTGATTATTTCCATCCATCCAATTCCAATTTATTTATTTATCTATCTGTTAATTCAACCAACTATCTATTTATCTGTCCATCCATCCATCCATTTATCTGTTCATTCATCCATCCATCTATTAATCTGTTCATTCATCCATCCATCCATCTGTAACACAGTCTCTCTCTCGCTCTCTCTCTCTCTCAGATTAAGTTTGGCAATGGCGAGTGGATGGTCGGCTCTGTTCGGTACGAGAGGAGGTATACTCTCCCGTTGCCCATCATCATCCCGGCGGTGGTCGTTCCCATGCTGCTGATTATCGCCATCTCCGTCGTCTGCTACAGGTTACAAAGGAGAACTGCTCTTCCCACAATGCCCTTGAGGTATGAACGTTTCATGTAATGAATTCATGAATTCATCTGATCATCTCTGTGTAGGAGGAAGAGCCAGCAGGCAGAACGAGAGTACGAGAAAGTGAAGCATCAGCTGGAGAATCTGGAAGAGAGTGTTCGTGACCGCTGCAAAAAAGAGTTCACAGGTCACACATGCACGCATTATCCCGTTACCATGGCAGCAGGGGTGTTTTTAGCATGCCAACAGATGATTTAAACTAGAAAACAGCAACAGGAATATTATGTCTGTCATTGAAGATATGTAGAAGATATCTGTCTCCATGTGTATGGCTTCTGTAACATCTTTGAATTGCAAACTGTTTAGTGACTAAAGCACGCTAAAAATATCAGAACGTAAATAAAAAAAAAAAACCTAAAGCTAGTTGACCTCACTAATTAACTAGTTCGTTGTTGGATGACCATATTCCTAGTACGCTATTTAGAGAGTAGCTGATTTATTTATTTATTAAATAATTTATTGTTTATCTGAACTATTTTTTAATCAGTTAATCAATTATTTATTCATCCACCTATTTATTTATTTAATTAATCTATTGATGTCTATTATCCTATCTATTGTTTATCTATTGTTTTACATTTATTTATTTTTCAATTAATCCATTATCGATTCATCCACCTATTTTTTTATTTATCAGTTGTTTATCTGGCCATTCACATTAATTAATTATTATTATTTTTATTTATCTATCAACTGTTTATCTATTCATCCACCTATTTATTCATTTATCAATTAATCTGTTATTTATCTATCCATCCGCTTTATTTATTTATTTATTTTGGTCAATTGTTTATCTGGCCATTCCCATTTATTTATTTATTTATTTATTTATTTATTTATATTGATGTTATATATCTTTCAACCGTTTATCTATAAATCAACTTATTTGTTTATTTAATTTGTCTATCAATTGTATCAATCAACTATCTATCCTTTCATCTATTCATTTATTTTTATATTTATATATTTATCAACTGTTTACCTATCATTTCGGCAATTTATTTATTTATCCATAAATGGTATTTGCAACGCTGCCTCAAATTTTGGCCAGAATGAGTAATACTTTCAGATTGTGGTGTGATTCTGACACACAAATTAAAATAAATTAATTCTGAGTTTAGAACTGATTGAATAAGTTGACCTGGATTTAAAGTGTCGATTTTGAAGCTATCCTGACGTAGACCATGTCATTTCCTGTGCAGATCTGATGATCGAAATGGAGGACCACACTAACGACATAAGCGAGGGCCGGATCCCGTTCCTGGACTACAAGACCTACACGGACCGCGTCTTCTTCCTGCCCTCTAAAGATGGAGCCAATGACGTCATGATCACGGGCAAACTGGATATCCCAGAATCCCGCAGGGCTACGGTCACCCAGGCGCTGAACCAGTTCTCCAACCTGCTCAACAGCAAAACCTTCCTCATCAATGTACGAAACACAAACACACTGTAATTATGATGCATTTCTAGACATCTACAGCTCTTCACCTGCTCGTTTTAAACAGTTAATAGCGGGAAAGGTCAGTAAATTAATATTTGACGATAATTGTCGAGGGGTTTCTCAGACAAACACATGTATCAGTGATGGAGCCCTATAGACATCCAGCAGACATTCGCTCAATTATACCGAATGACACTGAAAGAGCCCCAGAGGACTCAATCAGCTCCTGCGCTCTCATTAAGGTCTTTTATATTCATAGCCCAAACACAATTAAACTTTTACATCTAATGACACACATGAATACACGTAAACAACCACACCGTCAGTGTTTTAAGACTGGCCTGTAATTATGTTCCCAGTGTTTATATGGTTACCCACGACACACAAAAGTCAAACATAACCAGACATCATTAAACATAATAATCATTAGAGTATAACAAGACGCTCGGTTAAGATGTGAATCTGAATGCTCCACAGTTTTAATCATACAGGAGAGTCGATTTTATTTAATTAGTGCTTGTAAACCATAATTTGTGTGTGTGTAGTTTATCAGAACGCTGGAGGGCCGTCCGGATTTCAACGCCAGGGCCAAAGTGTATTTCGCGTCTCTGCTGACCGTAGCGCTTCACGGTAAACTGGAGTATTACACAGACATCATGAGGACGCTTCTGCTGGGGCTCATGGAGGATTACGTTCACAGCAAGAATCCTAAACTGCTGCTCCGCAGGTGAGACGACGTCTGACCCAAGATATGTCTTATTGCTTAAAAATGGCAAGAATTTTTCAAATCCGCAATCTGATTGGCTGGCTTTATGCAACTTCTGGGAGTCCGGATGAAAGTGTTTTAAATTAGGTGGCCACTAAATATCACACAAAACATGCCATGTTAGTCAAAAGTCTGTCTCTGCAAGAATAAACACAAACCTCACGGTCCCAAAGACACATGCGCAACACTCACCAGCGCCATGTTCACATGCTTGTTTGATTGTCATAGTTGGGTGCTGATGCTAATTATCGTTGTTTGTTATTGACTCAAATGAGTGTACAAGTGTTCATTAAAGCAGTAAGCCACTCGAGGCCGTGGGTTATCGTGATCTTACCACAGTTAAGGAGTGTTGTTGAAGCAGAAACCACTTAAAATCTCTGTAATGTATGTCCTCAAGTGGCTTGTTGCTTTCATTAAAAGGCAGCAACCGCAACATAATAAAAACACATAAGTGTTCAATAAATAACTATGGTAATTCTTCATAGTAATCATAATACAATTATTCTGTCATGTAATCTAGTTCATTCGCCTGACTGAAGGCTGTTCAGCAAATCGCTGTGTTATTAAAGTGTTTAACTGACAGATCCGATTGAAAAACAGCTTCAAATGTGACTCGTTCAAGTTTTCAGAGCCAGAACTGTCAGTTTTATAATAAATAATGTGTGTGTGTGTGTGTGTGTGTGTGTGTGTGTGTGTGTGTGTGTGTGTGTGTGTGTGTGTGTGTGTGTGTGTGTGTGTGTGTGTGTGTGTGTGTGTGTGTGTGTGTGTGTGTGTGTGTGTTTTCGCAGGTCTGAGACTGTGGTGGAAAGGATGCTGAGTAACTGGATGTCCATCTGTCTCTATCAGTACCTAAAGGTAAAATATCAAACAGGACGCACATTCGTAAAGACTCGCTCATATTTCATTTCACAATACATCAGGATTTTATGGAAGCTTGTTTCCACCACAGAATAAAAAAAGTAAAAAAGGTAATTACGACTTTATATCTCACAATTCTGACTTTTTTTCTTGTAATTGCAAGTTTATATATTGCCATTCTGACTTTATAAATCGCTATTGTGAGTTTATATCTCACAATTCTAAAAAAAGAGAATCAGAATTGTGAAATAAAATCAAAATTGCATAAAAGTCCTGAATTGTGACATTTGCGAAAAAAGTCACAATTGTGAGATATAAACTCAAAATAGCAAAAAAAAAAGTCCCAAATTGTGAGATAGAACTTCACAATTGCGGGAAAAAAAATCTGAATTTTGAGATATAAACTCCCAATAGTGAGAAAATCAATTGAGATATAAACTCGCAACTGCGAAAAAGTCAGAATTGTGAGATATAAACTCGCAATTGCGGGAAAAAGTTAAAAATGTGAGATAGGAACTCGCAATTGTGTGAAAAAAAGTCAAGATTGTCAGATATAAACTTGCAATTGCGAGGAAAAAGTCAGAATTGTGAGATATACTCGCAATTACGAAAAGAAAGTCAGAATTGTGAGATATAAACTCGCAATTGCGGGAAAAAGTAAAAAATGTGAGATATGAACTCGCAATTGCGTGAAAAAAAGTCAAGATTGTCAGATATAAACTTGCAATTGCGAGGAAAAAGTCAGAATTGTGAGATATAAACTCGCAATAACGAAAAAAAACCGATATGTGAGATATAAACTCGCAATTGCGTGAAAAAAAGTCAAGATTTTTAGATATAAACTTGCAATTGCGAGGAAAAAGTCAGAATTGTGAGATATACTCGCAATTACGAAAAGAAAGTCAGAATTGTGAGATATAAACTCGCAATTGCGGGAAAAAGTAAAAAATGTGAGATATGAACTCGCAATTGCGTGAAAAAAAATCAGATATGTGAGATATAAACTCGCAATTGCGTGAAAAAAAGTCAAGATTTTTAGATATAAACTTTCAATTGCGAGGAAAAAGTCAGAATTGTGAGATATACTCGCAATTACGGAAAAAAAAGTCAGAATTGTGAGATATAATCTCACAATTGTGGGGAAAAATTATTGCAAAATAAAATCTGAATTATTTTACAGGTTGTATTACTTAAACGGTTTGGCTTGGATGTGTCCTGCTCACGGGATGTTTCAGTAAAGCTTTGATATGCATGAGTGTGATGATGAATAATGATAATGAAGCAGCTTCTGTTCTTCATCTGCATGAATCAGCACTTCAGTCAGTGACACACTTGAACTGTAAATTCTTCAAAGCCACAGCTGATTTCCAGGCCGAGTTAGGATAAGGCGGTGTTAGGATAAAGTGCTTGTGTTTGTTCAGGACTCGGCCGGAGAACCGCTGTACAAACTCTTCAGGGCCATAAAGCACCAGATTGAAAAGGGGCCGGTGGACGCACAGGTTAAGAAAGCCAAATACACACTGAACGACACGGGCCTTCTCGGAGATGATGTGGAGTACATCGTGCTGGTGTGTGTTTTAGTCTTTTAGTGTTTAAGTGTTTACATTCTTCCCTGAACAGTGTTGTTATGGTTAACTGAAGCTAATATGGCTAATACGCATGGCTCTGGATGAGTTGTTTGCTCTTTGACCCCAGAATCTACAGGTGCTGGTTCAGGGCGAGGGGCCTGACATCACCCCGGTAAAGGTGTTGAACTGTGACACCATCTCTCAGGTGAAGGAGAAGATCATCGAGCAGGTTTACAAAAACCTGCCGCACTCTCAGAGACCCAAAGTCGACAGCGTCACCCTGGGTGAGCGAGTGAGCGTGTGATCTCACACACAGGTTCAGCATGACACTATCTTTATCGTCGTGTGTTCTGGCGTCTTCCACAGAATGGCGGCCCGGCTCCACGGGACAGACCCTGTCGGATCTAGACGTGACGTCACAGAAGGAGGGCCGGTGGAGACGCATCAACACGTTGGCGCATTATAACGTGAGCGCGCCCATGATGCTGTGTTTTATTTGACATGTTCCTAAATGTGATGATGTGCTTGTTAATGATGATGTTAAGGTTCGTTCAATATAAAATCATCATGAATAATCTGGTCATCTGAATAAGAAAACCTCTGAAACTGCATTTCTCAAGCCCCTTATAAAAATGTGTATTCTTTTTTTTTTAAATGATATAAATGTGATTTTTTTTTTTTTTTTTTTTGAAGCAATCTGAATCAGTATATTTTACAAAAATATATATAGTGTGCCACTTACAAATAAAATAAAGGAATCAGTTACCAATTTATTAATTAAATACGACAAATTATTTCAAAAGAAAAATAAATTATAAATTACTTTTTCAAATTGTTTCAAATTATTTAATTTGTGTTTAAAATTTACTTATTTATTTGTCTGTTTAAAAGTGATTTATTTGTATTTTTTTAATGAAAATAATTTTGACTGAATATACAACCAAAATGTATTTACTATGTATTTTCTTAATTTATGTAAATATATTGTGAACACATACTGTTATATATGTATATATTATATTATATTATATTGATATGCTGCATTATATTTATAATATAGTATTTATTTATATATTATGCATATATTTATATAAAATAAATATGGAAAATATATATGTATATTTTACATATTTTATAAATGTTTATACGAAAATTTGTAATCAATTTATATAATTTTTTCAATCAATTAATTATAATAAATAAAATATTTTAAAGCATCTACAGTATGATGATTTAAAATGCATACTAGGTTTTAGACAAAGCAAATGCGTAAAATTTTTGTTAATTTGGTGAATTTTTAGACTTGAGTTTTGTTGTTTCTAAAAGTGACGCCGCTTCCTTTTGTGTGTGCACGTGTGTGTGTTTTAGGTACGTGATAACGCAACAGTGGTCCTCTCCAGGGTTCAGCACACACAACAGTCGTACGACCAGAATCACGATAACCATGAAGAGAGTGAGTTGATGTCTACTTTCTAACTTCCTCTGACATCTCTGAAGTACACGCTCAGATGGGTTCGTCACTTATACACTCTCTTCACCCAAACTCCCAGGAAACGCCCTGCTGGATGATGATAAAGTGTTTCACCTGGTGCGACCGGCTGACGAGCTGGATGAGATGAAGTCTAAGAGAGGCAGTATAAAGGATAAATCCATGACCAAAGCCATCACTGAGATATATCTCACCCGACTGCTCTCCGTCAAGGTACTGAGCGCTTCCTGCTACTGAAGGATCTGCTGTCTGTTCATTCTACTTTAAAATAGCAAGAAAAATGACATTTAACTTCAGGAAATAATGTAGGGCGAGACTTGATTTTATCCATTGGGATCTGACTGGATTGTGAAATGTAGGCTATGATATTATTGAGTAATTTTTTATCCCACCTACGTGGCTTTAGTATACTTCGATAGAAAATAGGTTTCTGGTCTCATTTTTTGGTAAAAAATATTAACAATTTTTTTTAAACAATTAATAAAATGTATAGAAAATGTACTTTAAAATCAACTCCGCATGGAGGACTGAGTGTGCCACTTAAAAATAAAATGAAGCAATCAATTACAAATGTTTTAATTAAATAAGACCAATTATTTCAAAAGAAAAATGTAAATAAATTACTTTTCAAATCGTTTAATTTGTGTTTAAACTTTACTTATTTTGTCAGTTTAAAAGTGATTTATTTATGTTTTTAATTAATATGTTGCTAATTGATTTAATTTATTTTGTATTTTTAATGATTATAGTCCTCCATATCGCATGAGATATCAAGAATTTGTTTATTATTACGTTTATTATTCTTACATCAAAATTTTAAGATTTTTGCTTACAACAAGAAAAACTTGTAAAGAAACATTACGAAAAATAACTTGATTCAAAATATTCTCTGACAAGTTTATCTTGTATTATACATATTTTCAATGGAAAACAATGAAAAAAGCCATCTATTGATTTTTGCAGTGAAGATAATGAAAACCGTTCATAATCAGTTTTGATTTAATGTTTGTGATGAACAGTCCAATTCTACAGCAGTATTTAATGTGGGACACGTGCCATACAATTATTATAACCTCCATAAACCTCCAGGAACTATTCTGAGTGCTCGCATGTTCTCTTAACTCATCTAATTCTGTGTGATTGGTTCGTCGCGTGTCCTTGTGTCGGAGGCCGTTGGTCGTAAATTGGGCGATTAGAGAGGCTAATTACTTCACGCGTCTTTCACCTTGTACAGAAGTAATTCAGCGGCACGTAAAGCTGTCAGTGCCGACAGGAACAAACCGCAGTGGAGATGAGAAACTTCACCCGTCAGGCCGATCAAAGCGTGGAAACAGTCATGTGTGGCTGTCAGTGATTCACACTGATGTGCCAATAAATGAGACGTTTCTCTGCTTTTTTCTTTTTTTTTAAAGATCTCTGTTATGTTTCAGGGCTCAGGTTGGATACATTTTCAAATGTTTTCTAACCTCAAATAATTTACTTAAAAATGCCTTAACATTTCTAAAAACATTTTTAATGTATACAGAATATCTTACATAAATTATGTTTTTATTTAATTTTAATAATTAAGTGCATATAATATTAAAGAGGGCATATAATATAAAATATATTTTTTGAGAGTAGCATAATTGCAGTAATCTTCAAACTCTTTGTTTAATTAAAAATATTTAAAATTGTACTGATTATTTGAATTCATTTAATTTTGCATTTATATGACATGGAAACACCAAATATACAAAATGTATATCTCTGGAGGTTTATACATATATACAAAGTACACTGAACAAAATTATAAACGCAACAGTTTTGTTTTTGCCCCCATTTTTCATGAGCTGAACTCAAAGATCTAAGACTTTTTCTCAAAAGGCCTATTTCTCTCAAATATTGTTCACAAATCTGTCTAACTCTGTGTTAAAAACTGCACATTTCAGAGTGGCCTTTTATTTTGGCCAGCCTAAGGCACACCTGTGCAATAATCATGCTGTCTAATCAGCATCTTGATATGCCACACCTGTGAGGTGGATGGCTTATCTCGGGAAAGGAGAAGTGCTCACTAACACAGATTTAGACAGATTTGTGAACAATATTTGAGAGAAATAGGCCTTTAGTGTACATAGAAAAAGTCTTAGATCTTTGAGTTCAGCTCATGAAAAATGGGGGCAAAAACAAAAGTGTTGCGTTTATAATTTTGTTCAGTGTACATAAAAAGTACTTAAATTTAAAATGTCAAAAACTTTCTGGAATAATTATAAAACAATAAAAAATTAAATTAAGAAAAAATAAGAAAGTTCGTACATATGTTCAATCTTTTACAAGGTTCACGGCATCAAATTTAGATCTTGACTTTTTAGAGAGCCACGGGCAATTTCAGTGAAATCTGTCAGTTAGTAGAAACTTTTTATGCTTGATCCTCTAAAAAATCACACTTCCAGCACTTATTTCTAATCACTGAACTATAATTAGCTTGTTTTTGTGCCTGCGTGTGTTTTCAGGGAACGCTGCAGCAGTTCGTGGATGATTTCTTTCGCAGTGTGCTCTGTTCTGGCTCCACCGTCCCGCCGGCGGTTAAATACTTTTTTGACTTCCTGGATGAGCAAGCCCTGAGACACGAGAACGTAGACGAGGAAACCATACACATCTGGAAGACCAACAGGTGGGAAAGTGTGTGTGTGTGTGTGTGTGTTTGCGTTGTGCTAGTCACAGCGGGCGTCTCTGCTCTCTGATTGCCGCTTCTCTCTGGAGACGCGCGGCATATGCTAATGTCAGCGGCGCGTTCATTTATTCCGCCTGATGTGCTGCTGCGGATGCGGCGTGATTGACAGCTGCCGCCGAGATGTGAATAAATATGACGAGTAATATCATCACTCCAGCAGCTTCACCAGCGATTCTATTAAATATAAAACCGCTCACAGCCAAACAACACCTTAATTACGTCCCTGGTTAATTTAATTGTTCGGTTATTATACACCTTTTGTTTTTTTTCCCTCTGCTATTCTCCACAGAGATACAACTAGCCAATATATATTCCAAAATCAGTCATCTGAATGAGTTTTTTTTTTTTTAACCGACTCTCAGGAAACAAAAGCCAGAGCTGTTTAATAACCTGTTTGAAATTCCAAAGCCGTCTGTCCGCGTTCATGCTCCGACGGCGCGAGTATTGAGGGGCGGATTGAGTGAATTATTTGCTCTGTACTGAGTTTATGCTCCAATTGCAGGAAAGACTCACTATCAAATGGATTAAATACATAATTAGCAGTGTTTGCTAAGGAGAGCATCACTGTTTCTCATGCTGAGGGTATGAGATTTAAAATAAACCCCTGACCGTGATTAATAAACATGTTCGACATGAATGATTTCACGGTTCGTACAGTTTGTTCAAGAGAGGTGCGCTGTTACTTTAGTGGTAGTGGTAGCCTGGTGGATGATAAAATGGTGAAAAGATCCCATGCGTTTACATTGAATGAGGGATCTAAGCCCTAGCAACGCACTAAAAACACTCTAAACACCTTTGCAACTACTTAGCAGCACTTTATCATTGACTCAGAACACCCTAGCAACTGCATAACAACGCACTACTAAGCAACCCCCTACTAGCACCAATCAACAACTCAAAACAACTGCATAGTGACACCTAGGTGGATCATCCAAATATATAGATATTGTATTTGTATATGTCTGAATAGTTGGCAAAATACTTTATTTAAATATATTTAAGATTTTAAAGCATATTTGATTTACGGTCTTTTTGGCCTAGCAAACTTTGTAGTTTTTTTTCACATGCTTTTGCAACAGGACGCGGCATGCGCTGCGCTGCGCTATGAAACCCATTCATTTCAATGGCTTGCGTCGTGCGAGGACGTTTTGAAAGCGCAAGCGGATCTAGCTAGACCGGAAACAAAACAATAGGCACGCCTCACACACTTGTTTGGGCTTGCGAGCCGGCCAAATAGTAGGTTAACGTTACGTTTTGAGTGGATGACGAGCGCGAGACGCCGAAATGGATGCCAATAAGATTCTGAATGGAAAGTTTACTTTTAAAAAGGTGCCAAATGGTTCCATTGACAAGACCAAAGAGATCTGTGTGTTTTGTCGTTGTGAACTGAGCTATCATCATCGCAGCACGTCCAGTCTGAAATACCACTTGATGGCTAAGCACACACACACACACACAGCTGATGCGAATTCTCCGCCCCCTCGTCAATATCAGGACCTCGTCAGTATTTCTTTCACCCTTTTATTGATGGACAGTGTTATATTGTGTGAGAGATTATTTGCTCCAAGTGATAATGTTAGTGTGAAATTGAACACAGTATATGCCAATGTTGTTTTCAATAAAAAAAACATTTGCACAAAGCAAGCCGATCCAGTTCCCCATGTTGATAAGAGCATTAAAATGAGAAAAAAGAATGGGACAAAAAGAAATCAAGAGACATTTAGAATAGATAAAAATGTGCGATTAATCGCGAGTTAACTATGACATTAATGCGATTAATCGCGATTAAATATTTTAATCGTTTGACAGCACTAATATATATATATATAATAACTTATTTAATACATATAAATATTCACTTGACTTTACAATTTATATTAGTCCTGTCAAGTCAATTAATCGCAGTCAATTAAAAGTTCATAAATATATAGTGTGTATGTATATATATATGCACATATATACATGCATACATACACTATATATTTACAAACTTTTCTGCGATTAATCGATTTGACAGCACTAATATACATAGTATGTGTGTGTGTGTGTGTGTGTGTGTGTGTGTGTGTGTGTATGTATATGTATATATCTGTCTGTATATATATATCAAGTCAAGTCAAACTTTATTGTCATTCTTCTGTATACATGTGTACAGCTGAAGGAAATTTCGTTTCATACGGACCGAGGTGCATAACCAATGCAAGAATAAACAACAACAGTATATAAAATTTAAACCCATTTAATACATATAAATATTGACTTAACTAACCCTAACCCATATATATATATATATATATATATATATATACACACACACACACATTATATATTTACAAACTTTTATGCGATTAATCGTGATTAATCAATTTGACAGCACTAATATATATATATATATATGGAGTATTGAAGGTGAAGTATTTCTTACATATTTCACAGCCCCCTAATCCGCTTCTCTCTGCAGTTTGCCGCTGCGTTTCTGGGTGAACATTCTGAAGAACCCTCACTTCATTTTCGACGTGCACGTGAGCGAGGTCGTGGACGCCTCTTTGTCCGTCATCGCTCAGACCTTCATGGACGCCTGCACAAAAACAGAACACAAACTCAGTCGGGTAAGTGTTTGAGAATCAGCCACAGGAACATAAAGACCAGAAATACTTCATTTATTGACACTCTCTCTCTCTCTCTCTCTCTCTCTCTCTCTCTCTCTCGCCTCCAGGATTCTCCCAGCAACAAATTACTCTATGCAAAGGAGATCTCCACCTACAAAAGGATGGTAGACGAGTAAGTGCTCCAGCATTGCACAGTCTCACCCTCCAGCCGAACGCCCACATATGGTTTACAGACTGTCTGATGCGTTTTGTGCTCAAAAATGGCGAGAACTTTCTCAACAATGATGATTGACTGGGTTTATGCAATATCTCGGCAATTCGGTGCGACAGGTTTTTATAAGTCTGCCGGCAATCAAAGTTGTAATTATGTTCCCAGGCGGCTACGATGAGCGACTCTGAGGTCTGCTAAAGTCTATAGGCATCAAATCTCTGAAAGTTATTCATGATTATCTTTTGTTTGAGACACTTTAGCTAGTAAATAAGATATACTTGAGTACAACAGTATATTCTGCGTTGTTGTTGTTGTTGTTGTTTTAGTTATTTATGATTTACCAGCCCCTAAATGTCAAATAAGATAAGTGAACATGGTGTGTTGCTTTACATGTCAGTCAGAAGGACTCTTTCTTAGTAAGTGTTTTTGCCAGAATAATCTGCAGTATAGATCAATTGTGTGGTGTGTTTTTCCACAGCTACTATAAAGGAATCCGGCAGATGGTGTCAGTCAGTGACCAGGAAATGAACACACATCTGGCTGAAGTGTCACGGGTGAGTGTGTGATGGGCTTTCTGTGATTTTTATGGAAAATGAAGAGACTGGTGTTGATTTATGTTTGTTTTTTAGGCACACACAGATAAACTGAACACGCAAGTGGCTCTTCACCAGCTCTACCGGTACGCCAGTAAATACTACGATGGGGTGAGTACACACACACATACACACGCGCACAAATAGACAAACGCATGCAGCACACACACACCTGTACACAAACAGGATATTAAAATGGAGGGACAACAGTGACATGCTTGATTTCATCTAAAACTTTTTTAACACCATTTCTTAATTAATGTATAATTAATATGAATGTTGTTTTATATGAATTGACAGACTATATAGAATAATTGAACAGCTCAAATTAATTTGTCACACAGCAGGACCATTTAAATAAATAGATAAAAGATGATTGAAAATGGTGTGGGGAAAACTTTGAATAAATGGTGGCAAAGTAACAGAACCAAAAGTATACACTTTCATTAAATACACATTATACATATTTTAACATGAATGACTGAATAGATGGATGGATGGATGGATGGGTAGATATAGATAGATAGATAGATAGATAGATAGATAGATAGATAGATAGATAGATAGATAGATAGATAGATAGATAGATAGATAGATAGATAGATAGATAGATAGATAGATAGATGGGTAGATATAGATGGATGGATGGATGGATGGATGGATGGATGGGTGGAT